TTTCTCAATATTGTCTTTCCCAGAGACAATTTTTAATTTTATGAAGTCCAGCATATCAGTTATTTCTATCATGGATTGTGCCTTTGATGTTGTATCTAAAAGTCATCACCATGCCCAAGGTCATCTATCTTGGGTAGATGAACCAGAAAGAACTTAGTCTCTCTCTTCTCTTTCTGCCTTCCTCTGTGCCAATTCCATTCTCTGACAGGCTTGTCCTTCATGCTGGCAAGATAGCTACATCTTGATAATTCCAAGTTCAGTGGAAAAGGGGAAGCTGTCCCATGGATATGCATAAAGGCCCTGAGAGTTATTCTCACTCTAAATCAGTTACAAACCCATCACTGAACAGATCACTGGGATCAGAAGGATGATGCACTATACAGGGTGGGCTAGGCTAGGTTATGGCATGTTAACAAAAACCTGAATTCCCGAGGACTGATGACCATCTAACGTAAGGTTTTCACTTACGTTATCTTCTAGGAGTTTTATAGTTTTGCATTTTACATTTATGTCTATAATCCATTTGGGGTTAATTTTTGTGAAGAGTATAAAGTCTGTGTCTAGATTCATTTTTTTGCATGTGGACATCTACTTGTTCCAGCACTTGTTTTCTTCAGAAGACTGTCTTTACTCCTTTGTCATTGCCTTTTCTCCTTTGTCAAAGATAAGTTGACTATATATATATATTTCTGGGCTCTCTTTTCTGTTCTACTGATCTATTTGCCTATTCTTTCACCAATACCATACTGTGTTGAGTACTATAACTTTATAGTAAGTCTCGAAGTCAGGTAGTGCCCCTCTTCCGTCTCTATTCTTCTCCTGTGTTGGCTATTCTGAGGGATCAGCTCTTTTTGGTTTCTTAAGTTAATGGTAGTTTTACCAACTTGTCTATTTTATTCTTACATAATATGACACATCTATTTCACAAATATTCTTGTATATGACTCACGTTACATTTTAACAAGATCATCTTAAAACCAATAGCATTATGCAGAAATGGCATTCTCCATGAGCAAAATTGTTTTCCCATCTAACTCTCTAAAATATTTCTTATATAATATGGAATAAGTTTTTATTTAATAAATTAATTTCACCTTTCATTACTGTCAAGAAATCTTTTCTGGTTCATAATTAAATGACACTCATCTTTTCCCAGAAATCCTTCAGACATAAAGGAATGTGATGTAATAAAGACCTTTAATTCTTATTATTTAGACTATGTTTTGGCCTCAACTAGTTTTTATCTTTTTTATTTTATGAGGCATGGAGTGCTTCATTGTGTTCCTATTTCCATAGAAAATGTTCACCTATTTTCACCCTTTGATGAAAGAAGGTTAAATAAACAGCTGGTATAGGATCCCATTTTATTGTTTTATGCTCCACTGGATAGAGGAAATGCATCTACCATATCTAGCATTAATAACAACAGAGCATATTATGAAATACTAATTTAGCATTGTTAAAAAGTATTGAAGGATTACTACTACTATTTACATTTCCACAAATGCATTCATTAATTTATTTAATTCATGAAACGTTTTTTGAGCACCTACTATGTTGTACTTGTGCTTAGTGATGCTAAATGGAAAAGAGAATTTAATAATACTATAGTATGATATAGGATGTGTACAAAGAATGGGACTGACACAGAAAAAAATCAATCCCTCCTGGATATCTTAGAATGTCTTGACAGATAAGGAAAGAGTTGAGCTACCACTTATAGAATAAACCAGTGTCCTTCACCTAAACATGATAAAAAAAGGATTTTCTAGCAGACAGAGCATATACTAGGGCAAAGAAACAGAGAAGAAAAAAGATATCGGTACTTGGTTAACTGAATTGATGACAAATGGCCATCTTCCCCCTATATAGAAATGCTGGACAAAAATCTCTCTCTCACACAGACACACAGAGAGTAAGGTGGAGGAACTCAAAAGCCAGAAAGAAAATCCCTTAGGTCTGGAAATTAACAAAATCTCAAAAAGCTAGGGGCGCCTCCGTGGCTCAGTAGGTTAAGCGGCTGCTTTTGGCTCAGGTCAGGATCTCCAGGTCCTGGGTTGGAGCCCCGAGGACTCCCTGCGCAGCAGGGAGTCTGCTTCTCCCTTTTCCTTCCTCACCAGCTCGTGCTTATTCACACGTTCTCTCTCAAATAAATAAAATCTTTTTTTAAAATCTCAAAAAGCTAGAATTCTCTTCTCTCCCTAGGGAACATGAGCAACTGATTCTATGGATACTCCCACCCTCATCAGTCTCCTCCAAACACACACCCTGCCCCACCAACCATGCATACACACCAGGTGTGTGGGGGCTGGAGCTTACGATATTATCAGACACATTAGATACAGCCTCTAGCTATTAGCTGGAACTAACTCAGTCATAAAACTGGAATCCCGAAAGGGCAGCATTGGCCATGAAATGAGAAACAACAAAACAACCAAACTCTCTTGGAACATTGGCTCAAGAAATCAACAAACACGCAAAGCAGCTCTGGGCAGGAGGGAAAGGGAGAAGAAAAGTTGATCTGACTAAAAATCATACTCAGTACTTGGAAATGAATTTCTAAGGATGGAACCAGCATTATAGACAATGTACTAGATTACACCATGCTAATAGATAATAGTAAACATCATGTTAATAGGTAGGTGATAGAATAATCTGAATGAAACCATAAAATGAGTATGTTTATAATGATTAAAGGGATAATGAATTAGAAAGCTTAATGAAATACAGAGCATCTTGGAAAAAAAAGATTTTTAAAATATAGCAATAGCCTTTTAGAAATGAGAATTACAATGAGAGAAATAAATATTTGAAACAACTGATTTAAAAATGGTAAAATATTTTAAAAATGGTAAAATATATGACAAATCTAAGGAAATCACCTCAGATATAGCATAGAAGGTATTAAATATTAAAGATTTATGTAAGATGAACAATAGTATAGATTATGTTTAACCCATTTATATCTATTTAATGTAACTGCTTATTTTATTTATGTCATCTTTTCTCTTTAACATCACCATGCTGTTTTCTTGTGGGTATTTTTGTTGTTGTTGTTATCCTTTGCCATATAAACTTTTCCTTTCTGCTTTTTGCTTTTATGAATGAGACTGAGGGGAGACTGATGTTATTCCTTTTTACTTAATCTGTTTCTGCTGAATGGATTGTTATAGAATTATGTTTTATTTAAATGTACATTTCCATTTTCCATGTCATGCCTACGTAGGCATTAGTTTTTGTTGTTTTTTTTTTTTTTTTTCCCGTAATTGTGTCTAGTAATCAATCAGCACTTTCTAAGTCAAGGCTTTAATCAACATCAGGAAATTAAATTCAACTATGCCTTTGATTATTGCTTCTTTTATGGTTGTTTTGGTTGCTCCTTTGATGGTACCATAATTATTAGGTGACATCATTTCAAATGATTCCTTATCATACCTATGTCCCTTTTCATCTCTGCTTGTTATCTTTGTATCTCATCCTGTTGTCCTCATCTCTTTCTGGTCTATCTATCCTGATGGCTTTCTGCCTCTCAGAAGTTTTGCTTACTGGATGCTACTAAACTTCCAAAATAGATTTCCGTAATACTCTCCAGGGAACTGTGATTCTCATTATTCAAGTTACTGTGAAACATCAGGACGATGTTCTCCTTCTTTATTTCTATAGTTTGTTTTTTGGTGGTTTTGTTCTGTTTTTGAAATCTTTTTGATTGGTATTAAGTTTTTTTTTCCTTAAGAAACCATGTAGGACTTTTTTCCTTAATCTTGAATGAATATTCATCCACCTACATCCGGTTTGGTAGCCACTTGAATCTCTTTCTTATATCTGGAAAACAGATCCATGTGCATAATTTAGAAATCAATTTTCAGTGTCTAATCATTTTTACTGAGTATCATTTATCTGGATTACCATGTGTAATCTTCTCCTACCTGGGATAACTGGATCTGGATTTTAAATGTTTTGAATCAATTAAGTGTATGAAAATGTGCCACCCTCAGCATGATTTCTACTAGGGCTCTTATTGTCTCTCTCCTTATCCCTATACTTAAGGGAATTTCATTTTTGACAATGAAAAATGCTGTCTTTTCTCTCTGCATTCCACTATGTCATTTCTGAGGGATATGGAATTAGAGCAAAAGAGGGGCAAAGGAACACTGATGTAATCGGTTCCAAAAATGAAATCTGTGTATTACAGAGATAAATTTATATTTCTCAGACTATGGGACTTGACAGTCAGGAACAGACAAGTTATTTTTCTATCATCTTTCTTGCAAATGGAGCTGCTTTGTTTTATGATGGAAAGTACATATCAGTCACAAATTATTTTTATTAATCTTTTTCCGTCCGTCCTCTAAATACAGTAGAAGTACTTACCAGATTCTAGCAACAGGTTACTGGTAAAAATCCATTTTAAGGATTAAGTTCTTGTCTTTAAAAAAATATATATGTATTTCAGGGAATATCTAAAAGAGAATGTCTTAATCTATTATACTGGTACTTTTTAATAGTTTAAAACCAGATATTTCTGGTTTTAAATCTTACTTTACCATGATACACAGGAATGTGGATTAACTAAACTACCACTAATATATATATATATATATCTCCCAAGTAGCAAAATAACTGGATCACATATGTATTTTTATGTTCTCTCTCACTTATCTAACACGAGGGAAAGTTTAATTTCTTCTCCCAGCCATAACCTAATATTCTACTACTGCCAGCTTCCTAAATTACAAACATGGTGGGAAAAGACAAATAATCCACTTCTTAATTTCCAGCCTTGCAGCCCTCAAACTAAATAAATGATGGCTACACAGAGTCATGAGTAGATCTAGAGATATGTGGGTGCATCCAAAATTGCACCACTTGGTAGATGTAGATACTTGGACAAGTTCTTAATCTCATTGAGTTTCATTCTTCTCACTGAAAATAAGACGGTGGGGAGATTGGATAACAGGATATACACATCATCAAGTCAGAGATATTAGGGTTTAACTCACCGGTTGAGGTAGAAAGGTATGATCCTGTTTGTTGTGGCACCAGCTGTTCTTTTATGATCTATCTCAGATCCAAGAGTCTTTTCATCAGGGTGTGGAGAATAAGGTAGGAATACAGTGACTGGCTTTTGGAAAGGATGTGTTGATGGGTGCTTAACATGGATCAGAGGGCTTGTGGATACTACCAGGTAGGAAGTATCTTGCCGTGTTTTCAAATATGTCACCAAAGATGGGTCAACAGCTTGGACCTAAACAAGGAAAAAACACATATTCATATATTTTAATAACATGCAAAGTATCAGCACATTTCTAAGCCAATTTTCTGAAAATTTGATAGAGCCTAGTTTTATACATTTCTTTATGCATTGTTGACGAGAATCAACACTGCATTAATTTATAAAAAACACATCATTTGGTCCCCTTTTTACAAAGTCTGTCTGAAATCTAGGTTCCCTGTCCTATGTTATAAATAACTGAGAAACACTCTTAATTGTAGGCAACAAAATGACCTAGAAAACAAAATAGACATTTTACATAATTTCTAATTAGAACTGTTGTTAGATCAAGTGATCTTCAGAAGCTAGAAAAACAAGACTATATTTATTTGTTTCCTCTCACATAAGAATGGCTAATAAAAATAGCTAGCATGATTCTAAACTTCCAAGTTTATGGAAAATATCTATGAATTAATTGCTCATAATATGTTTTTTTCCCTACTTTTTCTTTTTTGCTAACCACTTACAATAACTGGGAGAAACAGGAGAGCATGGGGGACAGTCGAGGCTGCAAGGACAGGAAATATTGAGAAAGTGTATCTTCTAAAAGGTACAGTGATGCTCCAATATATCATGTGTATATCTTGTAAATAGTGTTTTTATATATTAAATCCTCATTCCAAAAAAGGGCTGTTTTATGATTAAGTATAACGAAATTGTCACAATTATAAATATTTTAATTGATTAGCCTCCTGTTTGCCATCCTTCAGATGCAAATCTTGACTCATATGAATGTCCCAATGTCTGGCTTCAGTTTTATCATAGATACTTAACATGTTTTTGTCAATAAATATCATTAAGAAACACACACACACACAAAAGTAGCTAAGAAAGCTTTCAAATAAAGCAGGGATTTATTTTGGAATGAGATTCACTATGCTCTAAATCATCACTTTATCACTGATACCACTGTATGTTAGGTCATCAAAAATATAAGAAAAGAATTCGTTTACTGGTATATTAAACAGTTGTACCTTCTTTATCCTTTCTGGGCCGTGTTTGCTGATCCACAAAAGCTATGAGAAGAAACTCACCAGTTTTTAATATTTACCTTTAATTGTACCAGCACTGGGGAGCCGAAAACCCCTGGAGGGTAATTTAAGGACACTCGGGAACCCATGCCTGGCTTAAGACTAAGGCCTTTCTTTGTTACTATGAAGGACTCTTTCTTTAAACAAGACACAACAGAGAAGACACCCAGCTTGTACACTTTGACTTCAGCCCAGGTCCCCTGTATGGATTGAGGACATGAAAGGACATTAACACAGCAGGGTTCTGGGTGCATCTGCTGTGTATACTCTATCTGCTCTCCCTGTACTCTCCCACATTTGGGAAAGATTTCATTAACTCCAAAGGGATGCTCAGGTAGATATTAGTTTCTCAAACTTGAACTACATGATAGAAAAGAGAGAAATAAATATATTTTTAAATTTAAATTAAGTTCCCCCACAATCACATTTAGTGTTTTCACAAATATTAACTATTTTTGGAATCCTATCTTCCTTTACCAGAATAAACTTTAGTATTGGCCTTTATCCAGAAAATTCAACACTGTTTTAGGGAATTCCAAAATGTCATCATTTGGGTAGTTTATGCAAAAGCTAGAGCACCTGTTCTGTCAGCAGATTCTTCCTTCTGACAACTCACAATCTCTTAGTAAAGTCATTTTCTCTATTTCTCTCCTTCATGCAGTGGGAGCAAATGACTGAAAAGAAACATTTGTGTTTCATTTTTATATAGTGACATTTAAATTTGTAATGCCTATATGCAGGCATGTATTCAAGCTTTTTAATCACACAAAAAAGGAGCTGAGTACATAAATGAAAACAAAATTATCTACTCGTATACTCACCAAAGCTTAAAATGAAGAGGAAGACTTAAAAGTCATTTGGTCTATTCATGTCTCCCCAAACACCAGCCCAGCTCCGCCCCAGCGTGAGTGGATAATCAAACAGACACACACACAAACATTTCGGGGACAATCACAATAGAGAATAATCTGTCATTTGAAAACTGACTAAGGAAGACATTTCACAATATCACTTCATGAATCCGTCATTGGGAAAATTCAGGGCGTGACAAATGTAGTTAATTGGCTGAAAGGAAAATGGTGAGAGGTAAGAAAAAAAGTTTCCCTGGAACTGATTAGGGATAACTACTATTAGAAAACTATAAAAAGTATATGCTTTTATATTTTCCAGTAGACAATGGTCCTCTTACTTTGTTGTCCTTTTTGCTCTGATGATCCATTTATGAAACATCTTGCTGCCCATTTTCTGAAAGTCACGTGCACGATCAGCAGTTTTCACGTTTATAATGACAGTCACACAGACTGATCAAGATTAAAAAGCCACAGTCAAGGCAATGTGGACAGGACTATTATACATACAGGCTTCCTAGACCAAATATAAAATATGCTAGTGACATGAATTGGAATAAATTATTATTACAGGCTTAGCTTTCATATTCTACTGCATAACCTTGTTTGTAACTCAGAAAAGACACAAATTAGAAAAAGAAGAGATGTATTATAAAGAATTTCTTATTTAGTGGAATTTTAAAATATTTATTCCTTGCCCTTCTCTTCAAATAATGACAACTTACATAAAGCTAAAAAGACAAATATTCTGTTTAAAAATAAATTCAATGGCCCACAGAAGAATCTTTAACCTTAGCTCCCATCAACTCTATGCTAAGTTTAATAACTGCTATAACCTGTCTTCAAAACATATGAATTTGTGACCATAGCGAAACTCAGAGTTACTACAATAACGTCTACTACTAACACGTGTTTATAGGCTTCCTTTTATCTTTGTAAGTGCATTTATTCATTTAATCCTTATGACCCTATCAGGTGGACACTATTATTGTATTCATTTTTCAGATAAAGAAATTGAGTCATGGCCAGGTTACATAGTTTACCCACACTAACATAGCACGGAAGTACAGGAACCAGATTTCAAACCCAGCTAATCTCCCCCCACAACCCACATCCTAACTACCACATACACTGTCTTCTGTGTATGAGCAGAACATAATTTATAGACTAAAAAACTATCTCAAGGCGTGCACACACACACAGCTGTTCAACTCTTTTTACATATTTTTCCAACTCACGAATGATAAAAAATAAATCTAGTATTATCTGGGGATCCCAACATTCTTAAATTTAGACAGAGGTCCATCACATTTAAATGCTAGTCTATTGCTAGTCTAAGGCATGAAGCTAATTAAGCCATGATATTGATTTTTTTTTTTTCCCCAGGTGAAAATACAACATTTGCTGGGTCCTAGACCCAAGTTCTTCTTTCCTAAGTTTGGCCAATAATTTCTGCTCTTTGACCATGAAGATCAAAAGATAGCAAAATATTCGTGAATTTACTGGCATTAATCTAATTAACCCTTCCATTTGTTACCAATGGAGCAATTATATCTCTACACAATCTGGTAGTCTGAGTAATATTTAGTAGAGGAGTCAAACAGCAAATGTAGATGTAGCCAAGGCTTTACCAACCTTATAACTTCCTCTCATTCCTTCCAGTGAATTTGGGGTTAGGTAACTTGATTGAAGGTTTATGTCAGACACTTTCACCATGATGTTTCTGTAATTTCACCTGTAATGTGCAGTAAATGGAATTGCAATGCATATTAGAAATGGAATTTTTTTTTCCATGTCTGAGCACTCAACAGTGATGACATTACTGACCAACTCTTCACTATCACTCACTATTAAAGAACTCATGCTATTAATTACCTGGCATTGTAGATGTTGTAGAATATATGATGGTGCTGTAATATAACAAGACACCTGGGGGCTGGTATCACTCAGCATATCAAAATACCTGCAGGAAAAAAAATACATCATTTTTCCAATTATTTGATTTATGTACTATATGGCTAAATGCAAAAAAGAGGGAAGCAAACCATAGGAGAGTCTTAACTATGGAGAACAAACTGAGGGTTAACGGAGGGAGGTGAGCGGGGGATTGGCTAAATGGGTGATGGGTGTTAAGGAGTGCACTTGTTGTGATGAGTACTGAGTGTTGTAGGTAAGTGATGAGTCACTAAATTCTAGTCCTGAAACCAATATCACACTATATGTTAACTAGAATTTAAATAAAAAATTTGAAAAAAAATAAATTAAATAAACTATAAAACAAATATAAATAAATAATAAATAAATAAATAAGCACGAGCTCTAGAGCCACATTGTCTTACTGTGAATCCCAACTCTTTCACTTACTGACTCTGTAACCTTTTAGCAAGATATTCAACCTCTCTGTGCCTCAGTTTATTCAACTACAAAATTATAATAAAATAATACCTATCTCATAAGAAGGCTGTGAGAATTAAATAAACTAGTATATGTTAAGTTATTAAAAATCTATGCTTGGCACATAGTAGGTATTATATGTATGAGCTATTATTACTATTTTTACTATTGACATTACTATTATTATTTAGGTGGTGATTTCTCAGTTTTGTTCACGTTACAAAATGAATCTGAAGATTGCTAATGCTTCTTGATAAACCAAGTACTAATAGCTGAATCATTTACTAAATTTTGAGGAAAGGAGATAAATACATATCTGGTATTGGAATTATCCAAACACATTATATCGAATGATGTTTATTATGTTTTTTAGAAAACCTGAGAAAGGTACAAAAGTACTGTGAATTTAGGATTAGTCATGATAATTAGAAGCAAAATATTTACAGTCCTCAAAGAATCAATACAAAAGCTTATTTTGACCACTTGTTGTACTCTTGCTTTTTATAACCATCACCTTTGCCGAAGCTTTTAGTGTCTTAAACATTTGCATTCAAATTTGAGATCAGTCATTATTTGTTTGACTTTAAACATCAATAATTATTATTAAAATAACCAATATTTTAGCTCTCTCTATGGACTAGATTTTAGGTTACACATTGTTTCATTTTTTTTTAAATTGTTACCTTTCAATAATCTCTATATACAACATGGGGCTCGACCTCGCAACCCTTAGATCAAGGGTCGCATGTTCTACTGACTGAGCCAGCCAAGTGCCCCCACACTGTTTCATTTAATCCTCACTAGGGAGTCAGGCAGGTACTACTGTTATCACCTTTTACAGATAAAGAAACTGAGGCTTAGAAAATGTCACTTGTTGAAAATCACACCGATGGTAAGTATACAGAATCAAAAATTGAATCTGTCTATATTTAGCACAAAAGCCCAAACTCTGACATAATATCCTCAAATCATTCCAAAGCACTGGATTCTTTATCCATTACAAACTGAAACTAATACCTAATCTACAATAGTATGAAGATGGATTGCATGCCCAATAAATTAGATCTCTACCTTAAGATTACCAGCTTGAGTTTCTCCTCTTCTTTCTACTTATTTCTTATCAGTGAAATGGCTGAAATATTGGCAATGTCAAAGATAAATGAGAGGATCAATATAAAATAGAGCATTAATACCCAGTTCTAGGATAATCAGGTTTTAACTATTTTTCAATTCTTAGTAAACTGAATTTTATAATGCCCTTTAACATAGATATCTAAAAAATAATGTTGAAATTGCAGAGAAGTTTATTTATTTAGATTTATAATTCTGAACCTATAAAGTTGGAAGGAAAATTACCCAGTACATTGGTTTGTTTCCATATTCTCTGATGACGGTACTTCAGAAAATGAAAAACAATTTCTGAATGGTTTAATAGAGAATACAGTGACCCAGCCTTGTATAACTTCAAAAATGATTTTCTTCTGTGGCTTGAAAACTATCTGCATACGCTCTTTTTTTTTTTTTTTTAAGATTTTATTTATTTATCTGACAGAGAGAGAGACAGCGAGAGCAGGAACACAAGCAGGGAGAGTGGGAGAGGGAGAAGCAGG